ATCGCTCTGAGCCCCCATTCTTCCTCGACCTGTTGTTGCTGATGGAATCCCATGTCGCTGTTTTGTTTGTCTGTCTGTTTGTTTGTTTGTTTCATTTGATATTTGATTTTGTTTGATGCTATCGGTGTTTATTCAGCACTGGAAAGTCGCCGACATTAACACTGAGATCTTGGTTTTGTTCAATCAGACGCTTGGCTGGTGAGCATTTGCTCACTTAGAGGAGTTGACTTTTGTCGGTAAATGTGGAATGAATGTGGCACGTAGCTCAGAGGAAGGTACCAACGTGAAGAGAGTTGAATAGATTCGTTTTGAGCTCAGTAGTGTGAAAGAGATTTAGTGAAGCTAGTTTAGAGGTTATAGAGTAGATGGATTTTTTGAAGATAATGAGAATGTAATGTTCTAAAGTCTCTAAAATATGGGATTAACTTTTGTATTATTTAGGATATTTAATAATAAAAGCAATGAGTATTTGAACAAAATGTTCTTAAACTAGGATGTCTATTGGATTAAAAATATCAATTATGTATTATAATTAATATAGAAAAATAACATCAATTAGTGGACTTGTACAGAAGAGATAATCAACAGAGCAAAGTGTGTAGATTGTTATTTTTCTCTTTAAAAAAAGTATATATATATATATATATATAAACTTTTTTTAAAGAAAAAAAATAATAATCTACACACTTATATATATACATGCATACTCACATATGTATATATAGTGACCTTCAAAATTGTCCTAATGTTTATACTTGTCATATTTGAAAAATAATGTGAGTAAGAAAAATTCAGAAATAGAATGTAGTAAATTTATTAAAATAGTATATGCATTGTAATAGTTTCTTACAAAAATTTCCAAAAAAAATCTAAGCACTTAGTGATAACCATTATTTTATATTATTAATATTATATACAGATATATTATCTTATTAAAATGTGACTTTTTATGCATCTAAATCATATTTTTTAATTATACCATGTAGATATTCCTCCAAGATGTTTTGATAACCATGTTGATTGAAGCAACCTTCAATTTTGTGCATCATGTTAGGTCTATGTATATACATACATCTCTACATTACTATAGAATTACTACCATGTTCAATAGTTGGAATAATAGTCCACTCTCATAATTCTTATAGATCATGAAGTCAACACCAAACTCTTCCATCTAAAGAAAATATATTAATCTTAGTTTCATTTGAGAATATCATGTAACTCCAATCATCAAAAGTCCAAGATTCATACTTTTAAGCAAATTCTAAGGAAGATCTAATATTTATACTTAAAAAATGTGGTTTTTTTTTAATATGTGTTTGCAAACCTACTCTCTGAAGTGCTTGGCGCTCAATAATTTCACTAACTTATATTCTAAAAAATTCTTTCACTTATTTAGTAGCTTCTCTTATAATAGATATCTTTCTTATAGAAACAATTTTCATTTGCCTTCTCAACTTGTGTAGTCTATTTCCAATTAAAGATTTGCATCTAGAAAATACTTTGTACAAAGCCTCTATATACTTGACTTATCAACATGCAAAAAATTTGCCACATCTCTCATATTATAGCCTTTCTAAAGCAATGAGAGTACATTTTATTGCTTTTCTTGTGATAATGGTCTTAATATTTTCTTTTATGAAGTAAAACATAAGAATAATTGATATGTGAATATGTACATGCAACAAAATAAAAACCAAGCAATTTACAGTGCATCTATTCTTTAATTTCTATACTTACAAGATCTATTGACATGGACCTTCAAAATTGTTCCAATAAAGAAGAAATATCTAGAGCTTTAATCCATACAAATGTATGTATAGACAAGTTCCAAACTTGTATTATCACTTTAATAGTAACTATATTTTTGCCATGTCACTTTAACATGTAATCACTATTTGGTGACTTACCAAAATTTCAAACTAAAAACATTGGAATAATTTTAAAGGTCATTGTATCTATATATATATATATATATATATATATATACATATGATTCATTAAATAAAAAAATTATAAATCAAGTAATCTAAATATGATAGGTATGTATACATGATGTATAATAAATAAGGATGTAATTGAGAATTTTTTTGGAATTATAATTTTTTGCATGTAAAAAATTCATAAAATGGAATGTATTGGTGCAATATAAAATAGAACAATAAGGTCTAAATTAATAACAGAAAATAGAAAATAGAGATTTGACAAGAAATTTTAGTTTATAATTTTTGTAATCTTTGTGATGTCATAAAATAAGTAAAAAAATCCTAAAAAAATATTTGCATGAACAAAATTAAAATAATGATCCAAAGTCTAATGAATTTTTAAACATCAAATTATAAATAATAATCATAATTAAAAATTTTAATTTATATTAAATAAAATAATATATTGTGTTATAAAATAATATTTTTTAAAAAAATATAAGAAAATTTTAATTGTTTTGGTAATAATTGAGATGATATTTTACAAATATTGTTGCAATACTTAATTTATAATATTTTTTGATCTTTAAATTTACGAAAACAAAAACAAAAACAAAAAACAAAACAAAACAAAACAAAAAAAAAAAAAAAAAAAACAAAATATAACTTAGCGTAAATTTTATTTGCATTGAAGGATGTCTTCTAAAACCTAGATACAAACTAGGATTGACAAAAAACATAGAATGTCAATATAATATCTATGATACTAATAAATATTATTTATTTATTTTTAATTATTTTTTTATTAATAATAACTATTGAATAAAGTTTTTTTTGTTTGTTTCTCTTTTGGTAATAACTTTTGTACAACGTATAAAGTATTTTTTTTAAAGAATCTATCATTACAAAAATAAAGATATAACAATCTGAGCTTAAAATCATTTAATAAAGTCTACTAAAATAAATAATTATAGTTATTTTAGAACAACTAAAGATTTAAAAAAATTACATAATCATTGACAAAAAGTCTTATTATAAGAGTTAATGTCACAAGATTAAAAACAACTTTTAAATATTTTTTGCTTTTGCAGCTAAAAACAATCTTCTAATACAAGCTACAAAGCTATGTTGTATTTGAACTATCCTTGCTATTATAAAATCATGTTATGATTGAAAGACATGTAATTTTTTTTGATCATTTAGAAAAGAATATTTTTTAATAAAATAATATTTTTTTAAAAACAAATCAATCAAAATTATTATAAATTTTATTTCTAATATCTATAATAAAGTGATTCATTAACATATTTGAATCAATTTTGTTAAAAAATAAATATCTATAGAAAAGTTTTGTTTAAAAACTTAAAGATACAATTATTCTAATTTTAAAAAGATATTTTTGTATTAATCATATATAACATTTTTATCTTTTGGTATCATGTAAGAGCAATTTGAGAAGGCATTTAAATATTTTTATTTTTATTTTTGGAATAACATAAAATATTAAATAACAATCATTTCAAAAACATATTTTAAATATTTTTACAATAATTTTAGCCATCCACTAATTTAAAATACTTGATGTTCTTGTAATTAATACAAAACTTGTTTTAATTATAAATATTAAGATTTTTATATTATAAAAGTATGTATTATTTATATTCATCTATAAATATAGAATAGATTTTTTTCCACTAGTACACAATAAAACTATATAAAAATTTATAATACACATTATTTTTCAAATTATTTATATATATATATATATATATATATATATATATATAAAGCATGATTATATATTTAAAATGGTTATAATTGATTTTGTGTGTAATTTTTTATTTGATTTTTTATATAGCCTAATGTTCTTGACAATTCTTTAGAATGTGCTACAACTTCTATTTGAATGAGAATTTGTTATTATATACATTAGAAAATAATAAAATTATAATTTGTATGAATATTCTTGCTTTGACAAATAGATGTTTAAAAATAAATAAATAGTAGTTCCACAAAGTAAATTTTTAATAGATTTGACTTATTATGCTTGAGATGAATAACAAAGAGATTGGAGTTTAGTGATAAATTTTACTTGATTGATGAATTTTTATAACGAATATCAAATACCATTAAACTATTTTAAGATATAAATTCGTTAATTCCATGGAAAGTAAAATTATATTTATAAAATTTGGGTGAATACATTGTTGTTGAAGAAACTCATATCATCACTATTACTATCATTAATTAGTAATTTATTTATTTACAAAATTAAAGTAATTAAAAATTTAAAAAGAATAAAAATTTACATATTACTTATTTGAATAACAGGAGCTATAATATTTTTGGTCATTTTTATGACGGTTTTATAGTTATATATAACTAAGAAAATTTTGTTTCTTAAAAAAGTTAACTAAAAAAATATTGTCCTAAAACAATGTATATTTTTTTCAAAAATTTGTAAAATAAAATTGTAAATAAAGTTGCTTAATTTTTTTTTAAAAAAAACCCACTGTATTATTTATTATTTACCAAAGCCTGATCTTATCAAATATGAAAGACATATATAAATACAAACATAGTTATGTCATCACTTGTGTGAAAATATCACAAACAAATCATTAAATTAAACAATGTATGCACTTAAACAATATATACAAACTTTAATATTCACTTAATATCATTTCACTGCAAGTCGAACTTAACACATGAGCAATAAATGAATAAAAAAACAGCAAATTGTGTGTCAAATCGAATTCCCAATTCATCACTTTCCATTCCACATAAACACAATCAATCTATACAATTACTTTATTCAAAACCAACACATCTCTTAAAAGACCATTAGTAATTGCTATCATATTCGATGAAAAGAATATTAGCAGCTGCTATCACCATATTCAATAAAAAATACTAAAGAATAAAACTTAACAAATACTTAAATAAACATAAAACACCACAAAAAGTTGAAATTACTTTAAAAGTTTGTTATAAAACAGGAAGCTGCTTAGCTTTTTTCTCCCCAGGAGATCGCCTTTTTCGTGGTCCCTCGGCGCCGACGATGTTGCTCCTCGTTGTTCCTCGAGGTCGAAGCTTTTTGCTGCGGCACGGGATCGTTTTCCTTCACAGCCATCGCCTCTTTGTTGGGCCCCTCGCAATCTGCTGTTCCTTCATCGGATTCCTCTTCGGCGAGTCTCGCACTGCGGATGCTCTCAGACCCCACATTCTGCAAATCTACCGCCACCTCGCAAAAGTTGTTTTTTCATCTCGGATTTCATTCTCGCCGAGTGGAGATTGTATTTTCATATTCTTCGATTGGCTTGATTCCGGATCATTGTAGGTGTAATATTTCACACGCCGCTTCCCAGTGAGTTGTTTTTTCATGACCCTCCAGGTTCCCTACGGCAATTGATTCTTCTTTTAGTTTCTTTCGGTTTGCGGGGTTTAGGGTTTTGCAGTTACATGTGCGCTCCCTATGCTTCGGGGGGGTTTTTCGACGGAGAAAGAGCTGGTTGTCCTTTGCAGCTGTCGCGAAGAGGATTGTGTGGGCAATCACCTGGCGCGTGTATGTAGGTCGGATTCCAGTCAGGTGGTGTTAGCAGGGAGTAGATGAAGGCAGAAAGTTCAGCTTCAAATATGGGAGATGAGGGCAAGAGTTATGTAGCTTACAAACACAAAATTACGCTAGCAGGGCACAGGAAAGCCATATCTAGTGTGAAGTTTTCCCCTGACGGAAAATGGGTGGGGAGTTCTTCGGCGGACAAAACTACTCGCATATGGAGTGCGACGGATGGGAAATGCGAGCGCGTTCTCGAAGGCCACAGTGATGGCATATCTGACTTTGCTTGGAGCAGTGATTCGCGGTACATATGCTCCGCATCTGACGACAAAACTTTAAAAATCTGGGACTTGCAGACGGGAGACTGCGTGAAAACCCTGAGAGGTCACACGAATTTTGTTTTTTGTGTGAACTTCAATCCCCAAAGCAGCGTCATTGTATCAGGATCATTTGACGAGACTGTACGCCTTTGGGATGTCAAAACTGGAAAGTGCCTAAAGACTTTGCTCGCTCACTCGGACCCAGTTACGGCAGTTGATTTCAACAGGGACGGCTCGTTGATCGTGACTAGCAGCTATGATGGCTTGTGCAAAATTTGGGATAACACCAGCGGAGATTGTGTGAAGACTCTTATCGACGATAAAAATCCAACTGTCTCGTTTGTGAAGTTTTCACCGAATGGGAAATTCATTCTCGCCGGCACGCTTGATAATAATCTGGTATGCTTCCCCCTGTTATTCTTTTGACTGAGTCCTCGTTGTTGTCCGCTTCATATGATTCTACTGTCTTTAGTGATGTGTTGATCTTTGAGCAACGAGTGAATTGGCGAGAGAGACTGCATTTTCTTTTTTTCAGTGGTTGGTAAGTTCAGATACTAAGTAGTTGCATTGCGGGTTGAAAGAACCTTACGAATGAATTTAGCTTATTGTTCTTCTGACATATAGAGTTTGTCTTTAAATAATGTCCAGAAATGATCAGCGTAAGTTCCAGCTTTGATTGTGACGATATTTCGGTGAATCTCCATGCACCATAGGACTGCAATTCCTGGCTCTCCTTAGTTCCTTTCATATGTTTTTCCAGGTCGATTGTTTCTAAGCCTTTCTATTCTATTCATCCTTTTTATAAGATCTCCTGATTTCGTCGTAATTATACTCGAGGCTTGAAATGACTTTTATTGGATGTGCAGCGTTTGTGGAATTATGCCACCAGCAAATGTTTGAGAACCTACACAGGACATAAAAATGATAAGTTCTGTGTATTCGCAACCTTCTCAGTCACTAACGGAAAATATATCGTAAGCGGCTCCGAGGATAACTGCGTCTACCTTTGGGACCTTCAAGCGCAGAACATTATTCAGACGCTCGAAGGCCACTCGGACGCAGTCCTTACTGTATCTTGTCATCCCACTGAAAATAAGATTGCCTCAGGTTCGCTAGACAGAACGGTCAGAATCTGGGCACAAGAAGATAAGTGAGAGGTTACATGTGCAATTATTGTATCATATCTGTCTCTTCACTAAACCTGGTTTCCTTCCTTTTGTAGAATCAAGATCAAGGAGAAGTTCAAATAGTAATTCATATTTGTTGCTCTTTCCAGCTGTGTGTGGGGAATTATCGGTATTATTTTTCAAGAAATTGTTCATTTTTATTTTCATTCTTTTCCCCTTTTTGGTCTAGCTTTGCGGAATAGTAACCTTATGTTGGAATCTGATATGAATCCTTGGAGGTAATTGGTTTGTACCTAGTACACATGTTGTATGCATGACTGTATCAAGCAATGTATAATCGAAGAGAGAAACAAGGATGGTACTTGTTAATAGTTCGATAAGCCAGGAACCATGATTTTAAGCTTATTTTCTGATTCTCAGCTTGGAGAAAAGCTAGAATTGTTGCCAGAATCCATAGTCCCGTCGGAACAATATTGTCAAGGTTCTTTGGCTCTAGCTAAAAACAACTCTTTGTCCGTTGCAAAGGAGTACAGATTATCTGACAAATCGTTACCTCGACCAGTCATAAAAGTTTGTTCCTTTTCCAGATGAATTTCCATAGGGATCGCAATGCAAGCTGAAGGGTTATTGCTGTAGTCTCAGATATACTTTGAAATCTTCGCCGCTGCTTCAAGCAGTATGAATGATCGACGGATTCTTAATTTCTAAAGTCCAACTTACAAAAGTTTTCTCTTGTAGCACTCCTTGGATGCAAAAACTTGAGACGAAATCCCGCCTTTCGTTTCCGTTTGTTTCAGGTTTTTTCCCTTCTATTTCTATCTCTTTCAGTGTGTCCATGACCTCTTCAGGAACATTATTCTAATTTTTTGTGATGTGGTTTGCTGTCGGTGTATATTGCTATGAGCAGCCATATATCATGAAAGGGGAACTTATAAAATGGAAACATGTTTTTATCATATGGTTACTAAAATCAAAGATCACATCTATTTCAGATAATAGTGCGGTGTTCATGTTATATTAGAAGGAAAATAACTTGTTTTGTCTTTTTGACTTGTTAGTGAGAATTTAGTTCCAAATTAAGACCGAGAATATAACCTTTTTTTTACTGGGATTTTATTACTGCATTGAATGTGGTTTTGGTAACTTCTAATAAACCTTTTTGATGTGAATACTTTTTCGAAAACTTGCAAAAGATGTTATTTGTTAAATATGTGAAGAATAGTTATTCCAAGACATAAAAAGACATTGGAATTACTAAAACCTGTGAGTGAAGAAGGATGTGGATAACATGGATTGGGCGTCAATATCACCTTTATTCATCTACGTACATATACAGCAAAATAATTGCAGAGGATTCTAAAAGGGAAATCAACATCCAATCTTGTTTTACATTTTTTAATAAAATATATTTTCTATAATTATGGTTTATTTTGTACTTTTTATTTATTTTTTGCTTTTTCAACAAGGAAAAGTTAGTAACTTGTTTGCAACAACTAATGAATACATCTACATTCCTGTGTTGTAATTCTATTGCACAATCATGAGAATATTGATCTAGGGTATGTAGATGTTCTACTTCCCAAATATGTTTGATAAAAACTTACATTCAACAATTGAGATTGTTAACAGTTTAGTAGACAAATTGAATGTATTTCTTCAATTGTTTTGTTGCATGACATGAAAAATCCTTTGCTTTATACAAATACTAACAAACATCTTTAAATTGCCAAATATATAAAATACAATAGTAGCAATAAAATAAAAATACAATCCCTTCTCTTCCTCCAAAATCATAAGTCAAAAATACAAATAAAAATTTGGTGGTGATATACTTATAAACACCAAAAATAATATGAATTAAAAAATCATGTTATTTTTGATGTTTGGTGATTTTACTAGACGTAGGAACAACTCCTGATGGTGTTTCAAATGTTTTATTCGAAGGAAGTTATGAAGGCCTCAACAATGATCAAATAACTGGGTGGTCTTCCTGCCCTAGTATGGGACACTACCGATGGTTGAGAGGCCCTATCAATCATCTTTGAAGAGAACAAAGATCAAAGTATGTGGTGAATATAATTCATCGCATTATAGATTTCTTCAACATATGATTACCGCTCCTTGTGGAACTCATCTCTAGAAGGAGGGGGGGGGGGAGAGGAGTAATGTCACTGACATACACATGTAAGCTAATAATTACATGTATAAATAGATAGAAGTAAGTAAAAGTAGGTAAAAGTAAGTTAATTCTATAGTATTTGATATGGAAGCTTTCTAGAAGCTTCATAGATGCTACTTTGACTTTATAGGTGTCTTTAATTAACTTTTTGGATTAGAAATGTGGTCAACAAGTTGGCCATGTGCCACACATGTTGTTAGCTTGGAGACCAAGCTAATTATGTGGCCCACATGTAGTTAGATAGTATATATAGAAACAAAAGTGAAGCCTTCTTCACTCTTGTCAACTCCTTTCTTGCTTTCAGTCTAGTTTCAAGGAAAAACTAGAGACCCTTAAAGAACAATCAAAGAATTAATCTATCTAAGTAATAAGAAAATAAATAAAAGAATATAGAGAGGATATCAATATTATATAAAAGAGAGCTAAGCTTGATCTTAATCCATTCTTAGATTGACTGATAGAGAAGATAAAATAAATCCCAATGTCTACTTATTTTTTTATTTTTATTTTTTTCTTCTTTTTCTTTTATTAATTATTCAATTAGTTTTAAAAAATATATATGTAAAAAAAAATTCAAGAAAGGGCCATGTCCTTTCTATAATAAAAAAAAGATTGTGATTTCATAAGCCTATCAGGTGTTAAGGACAAGAATCTCAAAGAAAGAAAATCCTCAATACACTCTTATGTCACTGAAGAGAACTAGAAAGTCACTGAAAAGGTGATGTAATATTAAACTAGAATGGCTATTGCTAAAAATAAGAAGATTAGAAAGTCTTGAAATAAGACTAAGGACTAAAAAGACATTGAGAAGAGTGAAAAAGGCTTCACTCTTGCCTTCATATATACTCTTAACTAAGAGCTATGTGGCGATGTCTTACAAGACCTCCAAATCATGTTAACTTTGCAAGACACATATCTTAACTTACAAGCCAATTTTTTTATATATACGCCATATAATTAACTTTTTTTGTAAGCTATCAACACCTAGTTAACTTATTGACCAAGTTTCTAACATACCAATCAACTACAAACACATGTAAAGTCAAGGAGGGTCTATGAAGCTTCTATAAAGCTTCTCTAAAAGGTCTTATGAAATTAACGTACTTTCATCTATTTTTATCTATTTTTACCTAATCATATAGGTATTTATTAGAATACTTATTGATGTCCGTAACATTATCCCCCCTTCTAGAGACAAGTTTCACAAGGAGCAGTCTTCATATGTTGAGAAAATCTAAGATGCGGCAAATTGTATTTGCCACATACTCCGATCTTTGTTCTCTTTGAAGATGGTTGATAGGCCCTCTCAGCCATCAATAGTATCCCATACCAAGACAAGAAGATCACCTTGTTATTTGGTTGTTGTTGAAGCCTTCATAACTTTTTTAAAATAAAACATTTGAAATACTATTAGGAATTTTTCCTTTCTCTAATAAAATCACAAAACATTGAGAGTCTCTTCGAAGGTCGTGATATCAAATACGTTGTATCTTGCCATCTATTTGAGGAAGGACATGTCATTCTTGAAGATCTTCATCTTGATTTCATTATCTTGAAGATCTTCATCTTGATTTCATTATCTTGAAGATCTTCATCTTGATTTCATTATCTTGAAGATCTTCATCTTGATTTCATTATCTTGAAGATTGTGACAATTGCAATGTCTTGTCTAGTAAGTTTGCAAATGAAAGCTCTTAAGTTGAATCTACTAGTTGTTGATTTTCTATCTTTATAGCGTGACAAATACATAAAAGCTACAAAGAAAGATAGAAGGTAGAATGTTATTTTCTTTTGAACTTGTTTCTTTTATAAGAAAGATTTGTTATTCTTCATATTGATTTTGATGGATGTCATTGATGAAAGGCTTAAACTCTTTTTGCTGCATTTACAAGATTCTTTGGTGGCTCCCATGTGCATTCACTAATATCATATCTATGCCAATAAACAAGATATTCTAACTTATTTCAGCATTGCCTTGAATCTAAGACTTCTTCTACCACGAATTCTTGATTATTATCCACTTTTATAGGAAAAAGTAGCATTTTTCTTCTTCTCAGGATATTCATTTTCTTATACGGCTTAAGAAGGGACACATGAAATACAAGGTGGATTTTTATAGACTCCAATAGATGTAATTGATAAGCAATAAGATTGATTTGTTCACAAATAGGAAAAGGTCTCAATGTATGATAGTCCAATTTATTACAAAGACAAGTAGTCTTAATATTGTGACAAAGTAACCATATCTTATTACTTATATTCAATTGTGGTTGCTCCTTGTGATAGGTATCTTTATTAATCTTTTGTTGTTCTTGAGCTTCTTTTAATTGTATCTTCATTGTTGCATGTAGCTCTGACAAATGATTTGCTAAATCTTCCACCACAAGATTATCAACTTTTAAAAAATCAAAAGTATTAAGTCATGGATAATAAACATAATTAGAAAAGAAAGGTGCTTGTTAATTAGAAGAATGTATCGAATTATTATATGCAAACTCTGCCAATGGCAAAAAAGTTGTCCAATCATTTTGATTATAATTGGTGGTATGCCTCAAATACTGCTCTAAAACTTGATTCACCCATTTTCTTTGTCTATTAGTTTGAAGATGAAAAGCCGAAGAAAGTTTTATTTCTATCTTTAGAATCTTAAATAGAATTTTTTAAAATCTTGATACAAATTGAGTCTCCCTATCTAATATGATATCCTTTAGTAATCGATGATAGCAATAGATATTGTCAATAAAAAGCTTAGTTGTTTCTTCACCTGAAATAGATTTTGTACATAGTACAAAATATGCCATTTTGGTGAATCAATCTATAATTATGAATATTGAGTCATATGAACTTGAATTTGGAAGATCTATAATAAAATCCATAGAAATAGAAGACCATAGTTGTTTAAGTATAGGTAATGGTTGGAGAAGTCTATAGGATTGATGACGAGGAGTTTTTGATCTTAAACAAATCTCACATGACTAGACAAAGTCTTTTATCACCTTTCACATTTGCGGCCACAAAAAATCTCTA